TGGAGAAAAGATTAAAGTTGCTTGAATCCACCATCAATGCTTATGGAAGCAAAGTCAAGAAAGCAAGCAACATACTGCAATCGGAAACCCTGCTGCCCAGACCTCTTGAAAGTTTTGAAGATCAGAGACATCACTGAGGACTAAGGTGTTTCTAACCCAGCCCAGAGTCCTTTCAGTGGCCATCGCATCTCTGGGTCTACATCTCTTCCCACTGGAACGTCCTACAAGATCCTCATGCCCTATACTCATTGTATAGGCAATGAGTAAGACCAGAGGAGAAGTGATGTGTCTGGGTTATTGGGTGGGAAGAATAAACAAATTATCATGGAGGAAATATGGCCAGACTGCTCCTTGGAAGTGAAGATGGTAAGACTTGTCATGTTATCAGGAGAGCCCAGTCCCTGGAGAAGGATGTCATGCTTGGGGAAGTAGAGGGCCAGAGAAGAGGAAGGCCCTGGCTGACAGGGATTGGCGTAGGTTCAGACACAACCATGGTGAGGAGGGAGCAGGACCTGCTGCTGTACATGGGTCTCTAATAGTCTTAAATAAAAAGTTCGGTGGAAGAAGAATTTGGTAGCATACAGAATTTTCTTCAAGTTGTCGCAGCTTCCTGGAAAATGACAGCTTTTACTTACTTGTGTGATTTAACTAATGTAGGAACTAGAATAAGGTCCATGTTCTTTATCCGCTTCCCCTCGATAAAAATCTCCTTTCAAATAGTTCATCTTAATGTTATACAAATTTCCTGATTAAACACTTTATTCTTACCTTATTAATCTCATCTTTATTTTTGCTTATTCATTCTTTTCTCTTTTTGTAGCTAACCAAAAGGTTGACAGTTCAAATCTTCTAGATGTTCCAGGGGGGAAAAGATGTGGAGGTCTTCCTCTGTAAAGACTGACAAGCTCACTGTGAGTTGACGGGAGTTGACGGGAGTTGACGGGAGAACAAGGGGCTTGGTTATTTGATTTTAGCATTGTCGAGCAAGTTCACTGTCCTCTGTCTTCCAGTGACACTCATCAGGGCACATGCCAGCTGACGAATGCCAGCAAGGCTGCACGAAAGGTTAAAGGGCACATGAGGACAAAGAGCTGATGGCACAGGGCAGGGGGCGGATGGGTGAGGAAGGCCTCTCTCGAGGTTCTTATAAGCTATGTGAGGGCACTGGCTTTCCTCCGAATGAGACAAAGCCCCTGGGTAAAGGCTGTTGGGGGAAAATACGCAAGGAAACCCACAGACGACTCTTCCCTTCTCACAAACTCCTGTGGAGCCTTTGTAACAACCTGACATCGCATCTCTGTCTACATCTCTTCCCACTGGAACGTCCTACAAGATCCTCATGCCCTGTGAGCAGAGCTAGGGTTTCTTGTCTGTTTCATTCCACTCCATCCCGTGGAAGTGCTTCAGAGAGTCATGCTGTTTGAATCTGCAGAAGAGAAATCTGGATGCATATGCTGTTGACGAATGACACTTGGGCAGTCCCAAGGAAATGAAGTATCTAGAATTTAACAGACTTACCGGGCTCCATTTATGTTAAGGCACGGGGGAAAAAGGACTAATGGTATATAATCCAGACCAGACTCACTGCCAGTAGGTCGAGGCTGGCTCACGGTGAACCTATAGGACAAGGCAGAACTGCCTGGTTTCTGAGACTGTCACTCTTGACAAGAGTAGAAAGCCCGGTCTTTCTCCCCATGGTATATATATATATATATATATGCATATAAGTACATAAGGAACAAAACCTACTGCTATTGACCACCACTTGTCAGCATGTCATACTGTGAAGGTTTGTACTTGCTGTGATGATGGAAGCGATGTCACTGCTATTTCCAATGCCAGAAGGGTCAGCCGAAGTGACCAGGGTTCAGTAGAAGTCCCAGCTAAGCAGGGATGGTGAAGAAGGAACCACTGTCCACTTCCGAGGAAGCAGCCACTGAAGCCCTTACGCAGAGGCTGGAAACACTGTCAGGTCCTGAAGGCCTGACGAGTGGAAGCCCTCACTCGCCTGTGCCAGGACATTTGGAAGACAGCTCCTTGGCCAACTGCCTGCAAGACATCCATATTTGTGGCCATTCCAAAGAAAGGTGACCCAACAGGATGCTCAAACTATAGAACGGTATTATTGATATCACACGCAAGTCCAATTTTGCTTAACATCACCCAACAATGGTTTCAGCAGTACATTGACAGGGAACTGCCAGAAGTTCAGGCTGGATTCAGATCATGTGGAACCAAGGGGTCTCATCACTGATGTCAGATGGCTCCTGGCTCAAAGCAAGGACTACCAGAAAGATGTTTACTGGAACTTCATTGACTATGCAAAGTCAATTCAGTTGAGTGTACCACGTAAACTGTGGACAGCCTCGAGCAGAATGGGAATTGCAGGACACTTCATTGTGCTCATGAGGAACTTGTCCATGGATTAAGAGGTAGCTGTGTGAAGAGAACAAGGGGACACTGCATGACTTAAAGCCAAGAAAGGTGTGGGACAGGGTTGTATCTTCTCACCATATTTAATCAACCTGTATGCTGAGCAAATAATCAGAGCTGGATTACATGAAGGAGAATGCAGCATTCGGGTTGGAGGAGGGCTTATTAACAACCTGCAAAATGCAGATGACACAAACCTGCTTGCTGAAAGTGAGGGTGGCTTATAGCCCTTGCTGATGAACATCAAAGATTGCAGCCTTCAGTATGGTTTACAATTCAAGTTAAAAAGACCAACATTTCCACAACTAGACCAATCGATAACATCATGGTAAATGAAGAAAAGATTGATTCTCAAGGATTTCATCTTCTTGGGGCCACAATCAATGTTCACAGCAGCAGCAGTCAAGAGATCAAAAGACGTCTTGCATTAGGTAAATCTGCCACATAAGACCTCTTTGGAGTACCGAAAAGCAAGGCTATTGAGGACTAAGGCGTGCCTGACCCCAGCCAGAGAATTTTCAATGGCCTCCTGGGTATGCTAAAGTTGGACATTCAACAAGATTGAAGAGGAATCAATGCATTTGAATTGTGGGCTGGAGCAGAATACCTAAAGTACCATGGAGTGCCCCAACGGACAAACGGAAGAAGTACGGCCTGAGTGCTCCTTACAGGCAAGGGCGGCCAGACTTCATCTTACACGTTTTAGACATGTTGTCAGAAGAGAACAGTCCCTGGAGAAGGACATCATGCTTGGTCAAATAGAGGAGCAGCGAGAGAGGGGAAGGCCCCCCAAGAGACGGAACAGGATGGCTGCATCAAAGGGCTCAAGCGTGTAAACAATTGTGAGGATGGTGGTGCAGGACTGGGTGGTTCCATCCGTTGTTCAGAAGGTCGCTATGGGTCAGAGCCCCCTCGAGAGCATCAAACAGCCACTCACTGCTAGTGAGTCGACTCCCCCTCATAGCCACCCTATGTAGGGTTTCTAAGAGCACACACATTTAAAGAGCAGACAGCCTCAACTTTCATCATATACATGGAAGAGGTCATCATAAGCATAAAGGAAATGAAAGAAACAGATAAAAACCAAGTATTCACAGAAAGGTCAATCCCACAAAAGGAATCATTAATTGAAAATAAAATGAGCTACAGATTGACATTGCATGGTGTTTGCAAGAAAGTTGGGAAGTAAACTCGGTGTGTGTACTTTTGATGAGAATGTAAACTGATGCGATCTTTCAGACAGTTGACAATACCAAACAGCTCCATAGGGCTTTATGGAAGCACACGGACCTCATCCTTTTCCCAGAGCTCCTGGGAACCTCCACCTCCCACCTTTCAGTCAATAGCCCAGCACTTCCTGACGGCACCACTGGGGCTCCTTATACATGCACTCCCCCTAAGCTGTTACTGAAAAGCTTTACCAATCCTTCCTAATTTTACTTTTAAAAAATCCCAATTTATTACCAGTTTTTAAACAATGAGTATTTATTACTCTCAGTCAAAAAGTACATTTTTGATAATTAAAAAAAAAAGAACTTCTATTGAGAGGGCAACTCTCCCGTTCAGGCACATGCTTCCTGTCACCCCAATTGGGGTCCCCAGCAGCCCCGATTTTCCTGTTGCCCACATCCACACTAGATTCACTCCAGGGCTCTGAGGGGTTCAGTGTGCTTACTCATATTCTTGTGGTTGCTTTTTTTCTCTCGCTTTCATTTCATAATAAACTCAAGTTAATTGATGGGAAGTTGACACACATGCTCTAAAACCAACCAGGGCAATTTATGATTTTCAGAATTCATTGCTTTCGAAAACTTGCCTTTTGAATTACACTTTGGGGTGGCTCTTGTCTTCAGCCTCTGATCCTTGAACCAAGTGTCACCGCTGGAACAGTGCTCCCACAGCCTAAGGAAGCCAGCTTTCCGAGCCATCGAGTCGATGCTGACTCATAGCAACTCAGTAAGTCATTAAAATTACCCAACCTACTGCCAGCCATGACCCATGCCCCCTGGGCAACCTTCTCAGGCATATTTACCTTCTCACTCAGGTTTGCCAGCAGTCAGTGTCATGGGTTGTCATGCCAGTCTCTTAAGACCTATGCGGGCTCCCAATAGGATGGTTTATCATCACCTCCTACCCCAAATCCACCATCCATGACCCTTTATTTAAAAAATTGCTCTACCATCCTGTAAGGAAACATTCCTTCTAAGCTACAGTCCCAAAACATTTGGGAAAATTCTTCAGGACTGCTTTAAAATAAAACAACAAAAAAGCCAGTACTGTCTAATTGGCGCTGATTGACGACAAGCCCACGTGTCCCCGAGAGAATGGTGCTCACTGGGCAGCCCCAGGGATGCCCCAGATGGTGAGGCCTTTCTTATGCCTCTCAACGGGGCTTTTAGCCACTAGCCTTTCAGTTCGTTGCCCAGTGATTGCTTGTGCTATTAGTCTCAAGCTCTTCTATAGACTCTTGAAACCCAAATCTATGCGGTGAAGGGTTGATGCTCTCACCACACAACTTCATTTGGTTTTAATTGGAGGGGTGAGGTAGGAGAGGAAATCAATAACACTCTTATTTTATTTCTTTATTTATCAATAGTATTGAAAAAATTGGGAGTTACAAAAACAAGTTAAATGCAATATGGAAGCCTACTAAAACCTAATACATTTCAGGAACACACAGGCAACAGAGCCCTATGCCAACGGTTTCTTTTGGAAAATAGGGGAAAGGAAAGATGGTCAGACCTTGGTCCACACGAGCTTATTGGCAAGTGGAGGCGCCCTGATTTTCCAAACCAGTGGCGAGTCGTGGCCTGTTGGAGGGTTTTCATCACCAATGTCGTCATGTTTATAAAACCACCTGCACGCAGAGAAAGCCCAAGGAAGCTTGCCCTCCAAGCCCTGTGAGTGCAGAGGGCTGGCGGAACGGAATCCAATTTAATGCTGCTTGTTCGCTCCTCGCCGAGACTGTAACAAGGCGCCCCACACGAGGCTATGCCACAGCTTGCCACAAAAGGCCCACAGATTACGTGCTTCTCCAAGGCAGACAAGAGCTGCCCTGTTGACAAAGACACACCAGTCGGGAACAATGCAGGGTTGCCGGGAGGGGCGGGAACCACAGCCCCACCCGTGGGATTGGTGACGAGGCAGCCTGGCTCCTGCTTGAAATAAACTGGCACTCTCATGGTCACTCCCATCGGGCCCCAGGACCCCCAAACTCATGCCTTTTGTGAGATGGCATGCTGCTGTGAGCGTGCCAGGCAAGTGGAGCAGGAGGGGCGTTTCGGGTTGCGCGGTGGTATGTGAAGAGAACTTTTAAACGGGCTGATCCACAAGGAGCACAGGGCGGCCGGAGAGAGGGGAATGGCCTCCTTTGGAAGGAGAGGAAGAAAACCTACTGGGAAGAAATTGCCATGGCGGCACAAGGGGGGTCTCACTGTGGTCTGCGCATTACAATCCAAATCGTGTCTGTACCCTCATGTCAACTTTTCAATCCTGGTCACCCCAAAGGATCTGAAAGCTGGTACTATGGAGGGGGTGGTGTGGTCCACAGAGGCCAGAAGAGGCAGGATCGACTGACTTCCTGCCACATCCGTTTGTAAGGCCAAAATTTCCTTTCTCCCCTCTTTCAAGATCCAACGACTTTTTGTCCTCCTCTCTAAAGGAGAAGCTATTGCTGTGGCCAAGAGGGAGGTCAGGCATGGAGCTGACACACGAAGGGTGGTACTTTTCCCACGGTCTCTCCAGCGAGGTGTCACTCGGGAGGCCCCAGCATCCCAGTGCAACCTGTGGGGCTGATGGACCCGGTCAAATTCGGTGACCCCGTTTTCGGTGATCTGAGGATCCTTGTGACAACAAGGCTTTGTTTATCCCAAAGAGCAGAGGGAGTCTGTCCCCCACTGGACAATGGCCAGAAGCAGAGAATTTATTTACTTACCAGATGGAAAAGGTCATCCTGTTCTATCGAGGAAAAAGGCCCAGAAAGAGAAAGATTGAGGCCAGCAACATTCTCTCATAGTGGCGGATCAATAGCACATTGATTGGCCAGGATATCCTACACCCTGCCTAGGGGCACATATTTCTCAAGTCCAACCTCAGGAAGATTGAATGGCACTGAACTTCGCAGCATATGAAAAAAGCCTTAATAAACCTTTTGGACCTTGAAAGCTTTGCCTGACGATAGTTCTTCCTCCCCTGGCTTCTGTCTGAGGCTTCCTGGCTCCTTGGTCAGACTGCAGACCTGCTGGGGCCAGGGGAGCCAACTCTGGGCTGCAGGTACTTTGTGACAAGGTGGGAGGCATCTGGGTGGGGGAATCCCTGTCCAAGGGCACAACATACCATAGATGCCAAGCGCCTCCCACTTCTGACGTGGAAGTACTACTGAGAACAACAAAAGAAGCTTAATTGCTAGTGAAAAAAAATACATATACCAACACAACAATAATAATATAATGATACTTGAAAAATGAAGTCATCTTGCCCAAAGCGAGTGTTTTACAGAAAAAATAGCACCTTTGGTAAAAAATATTCCTAGAGTTTTGGTTAGGTCTCTAAGGGGCTCAAAGTAGACAAGTATCTGCATCATTCAGGTGTGCCCTCTCGGACACGCTGACAAAGTCGGAGGGACACTGGGAAGCCAGCTCAGTGGATTTATAGCTGGAGGCAGTGCTTGGGATTGGGGAGAAGCAGATGCGGGTGTCCTGTCACCCTGAACGCTTGTTCACCCTTGACCTTCCCAAACTTCTCTTCCAGAAACTGCCTGATAGCATCTCTTTGGCCCTACTGGCCTTCCCTGTAGCATATTTCAAGCTTCCTTGGATTCAGGGGGTGTCTGGTCTGAGTCTGCTCCTCTCCCAACCATGATGCAGTTTTTCCATACATGCCTCCAGTCCCCCCTCTCCCTCTACCCCCAGCACCATTTACAGTTTTTCTCAAAGCACTCCAAGGGATGGTGGCTCTGAGCCTCCCCCTCTTAGCCAGTCCCCACCCCATTTTCCTTTATTGCAAAACAAATATACGAAAGAAAACGCATTGCTATACAAGCAAATACTGGTGATTTGGCGACTGCAGCAGACACTTGCATATACGGGACTCAGCACTGATGTACAAGGGAAGGTGCCGGGCCGAGACACCTCCCCCAGGATCCTCCACTTTAGATCTCTTTGGTGCTCATTCTCTTGGTCTTCTCAGCTGTTTCCTTTAAGAAGCAATAAAAAATAACCATTATGTCAAAAAAAGAAAAATCTCTTACATGGATCCAGTCCTCAAGATTACAGATAGCATCGACAGATAATATGCTTATCATGCGGAATTTCAGTTGTTTACTTGTCTGTCTCTCCATGGACAATGAACAACTTGAGGGCAAAGGCCATGTCCTATCATGACTCCCCGGAGCCCAGCACAGAGTGTGCGGCAGCTTTCTGCATCAAGCGAGGCCTCCATGTGACTGCCTCTAAAACACGGATTGCAGACATGACGATGCCCATTTCAAGGATGATGACAAGGACACCCAGGGGACATGCTTCACGAGGCTCTAACACAAGGTTAGAGAAACATGAATGTATTCTGAACTTGAATCATGACGGTGCTATTTTCCCAGTGAGCATGGACACACTCAGAAACCTTCTTGTGCCTCACTGTCCTCAGCTATAAAAGGAGGGCAATAATGATACCACATCTTGTAATCGTGTCAGGAATTGTTCCCTGGAGAGGATATCTAAATGGCCAGTAGCTGCAGGGAAAGGCTGCTCAACATCACTAGTCACTTGGGAATGGGAATCAAAACCACAGCATCTTTCCAGGCTCAGCAGGATGGCTGAAATAAAAAAGGCCAAAATAACAAGTGTTGGCCAAGACGTAGAGAAGCTGTAACCTTAATACAAGGCTGCTGGGAATGTAAAATAGCGCAGCCAATTTGGAAGCTAGCCCGGCAGTTCCTTAAGAAGAAATAATAGGTCTGTTATCATATGACCAGAAATGTACTCCTAAGTGCATACCCAAGAGAACGGAAAAGTTATGTTGACCCAAAGACACCCCGAAGGATGTTCCCAGCAACCTTATTCATAATAGACAGAGAGTCGGAAAAACCCGGACATCCACAAAAAGATGAATGGAGAGATAGCATGGGTTTTTCCTGTCCCCACGATGGAATATTAGTCAGTCATGAAAAAGGCACAAGGCACAGATTCATACTAAAACACGGAGGACCTATGAAAACATTTCATTTTGCAAAAGAAGCCAGACCAACGACCAGGCATTACATGGTTATCTAAATCTATCATTTACATAAAATGTCGGGGACACACAAACCCATGGAGTCAGAAAGCTGCGTGGTTGCCAGGGGCTGATGGAGAAGCGAATGCAGAGTGACGGCTACTGGACGTGGCGTCTCTCCCGTCAGTGCGATGAGGCTGTTCTGGAATGGGTTGTGGTGGTGGATGCACAACCGGGAGAACCTACCGAAAACCACTGACTGTACTCTTCATCTTGGCGAATTTTATCACCACCCATGAACCACATAGCGATAAAAGAAAAACCAAACCAACAGAGCTCAGCGTGCAGCAGGCATTACATAGGTCCTGCTTGTAAGCCCCTCGCCCTAATGCTCCAGTGTACACTGGGAGGGCTTCTTACTGCCAGACAGGCTCTCTTTGCTTGAGAGCTTTCACACATGCGACCTGCCAATAAGGCCAGAGAATTAAAGGTTCCTGGTAGCCGTCCTTGTGGGTGATATGAGTTCTTGTACACATACTCTGGGCTCCTTTCCCTCAGGCACAAGAACCTTGAGCTCAGAGTTTCCCAGGGGATCCAGTGCTACTTGCCCGCTGTGGTAACCTCCTGGAGTCCTCACTCTTTATTGCTTTCTCTCCAGCCTGGGCTCGTTTCCCAACTCCCCTTCCGGTCTTTCCTCCCGATACATTGTCTCTGTTTGAGACCTCATCTCAGGAGGTCTTCCTCAGAGGTGACGACACACAGTAGAGGTACTGCTGACGTTACCTATTAAATCTATTCTCCACTCTCTATTGTTTTTAACTGTCTCCACCCCAGACATGCTATAGATGGTCAACATAAATTCAACTCAATGGCACCGAGTTTTGATTTTGACAGTTTACAGGGCTCAAGACTGTTGAAATATAAGAAAGGGAAAGATAATCAGCTTCCTCATCTACTTCAAACACTGACATGAGGTTTCTACACAATAGTGACAAAGTACATACAAAGAATAACAAATATGAGTAGTTATCATTAGTAATTCTTCATGTGTCCTTGATCTCGATAGTTTACTGGTTCTTGTGACCATATATTCCTTATAAACCTGAAGGATGCAGTACCAGACCTGGTCTATGGATGAGTGCTTGAGGACCTATCCAGTCTTAAAATTACATAGAAGTCTGGGCAAAGGGGACCCAAGAGCCTAGCATTTTCATGTTTTTTATAAGTGCTTAGGATAATATCTCAGTGGGTCATTAAGGGCTCTGTTCCCAACGAAGCCTCTCAACTTAATTACATAAGACTTGATCAGAATCCTTATTTCTTTTCTCTGAAAAATCTCTAGGAAGGAGAGCTTCCAAGCTCTCGGAGCTCGTCAATGGCCGGCTCGTCAGTGTTCTAGCTAGGGTAATATTGAACCTCCATCCTTTTTGCTACAAGTGCTGACCACCACTGAGGTCCTGTGCTAGACGCAGGCATACAATAGAGAGCAAGTGACAAGGTCTTCCCACAGGGATCTCTCAGTGTCCCAGGCCTGGGTGTTTGTCAGGACAGGGAACAGGAGCACTCCTTTGAGCCGGGCTCACTTGCCAATCACTTTACAGCAAATGCCAACCACTAGCTGGGTGATTTTGAGATATGCATCAACTGATCAAGTTGTAGCCTGTGCCTGCTGATTCATGGGTCCTTGGACCCCTCCATGACAGCATTTTCTGTATTAGCAGTTAGACATACATAAAGTGATAGTACTCGTCACAACTTATTGTGTGGGACGATGCACAAGTGGTTTCTGGGTGGTAGACGAGCGTGTGTGTGTGTGTGTGTGTGTGTGTGTGTGTGTGTGTGTATGTGTCTGTGTGTTTGGGGAGGGAGGTGGTGGATCCCTAAATCAGCATGGGGGCTGCCACTCACCTGGTGCTTTGGGAGCTCCTGGACATATCTGGTCTTCCCCTCCTCTGTGTGGGTCTGGGATCCCTTCTGATTCTTTCCTGCAAAAACAACACGGTTCAGAAACAGCAGTGGCTGGGGAGATCCAGTGAGCAATTCTATCAAGACCCACCTTTTAAGTTCTTAATTTGATCACTCAGTTAAGGTATAAGAGAGTTGAAGTACCCTCACTTCTCCAAATATGAAAAGGTGCTGATCCATCCGAAGTAGCGAAATGTAAACAAACAATCTTACCCACCATCACTCTCTAACGCCCTCCTGCACCCCTTTCAGGCCTCTGTCCTGAGTGTCTCTGTCAAATGCCCCTGGTGTATCCATGCCGGGGGCTAGTCATGCAGAAAAGCTATGGTGAAACTGGGACCCTGACTCAGGAGATGCCTCTAGGGCAGTGAATCTCAACAAAGTCTCAACACTCCACGGAGAATGTTTGAAAATACAACTGCCGAGGCTCTGGTCTAGGAAATCCTGACTTCACTGATGTGAGCTCAGGGCAGCCTGAGCATCTGGATTTTGGTACCCGATCTCTAGGGTCTTCCAGGGTGCAATCATGGTCAATAGCCACTACCTTTCTCTAACTTGTATAGCAATTAAAAAAACCAAACAAATACATTTAAAAAATGCTTACATGCTAAAAAAAACCCAAAACACTCCAAAACCCAAAAAACAAAAACCCTCAAACTCACTGCTGTACAGGACAGAGTCGATCTGCCCCTGTGGGTTTTCCAGGCTGCAAATCTGTCCAGGAGTAAGAAAGCCTTATCTTTCCCCCATGGAGTGGCGGGTGGTTTCCAAATGCTGACCTTTTTGTTATCAGCCCAACTTGTAACCCGCGACATCACCAGGGCTCCTTCGCTACAAGCTAGACATCTCAAAATGCAAGCCCCTAAGCTATTCTGATGATTCTTTTTGACAGGTTCTGCTTCACGAGGTTTGGAATGGAGCCCAGGAACCGGTATGTTGATGGAGCATTCCTGTCCACTGTTGGCAAACATGGATAGGCCAAGCCTTCCTGACATCAGCATCAACCTGCCCCTCACAACCTACTTCTGGTGGCTCTGGCACCATCTGGCTTCGCATCTTGATACCTCTTCCTGTTTAGCTCATGGATTTGTGACCTAAGACCAGACTCCTAACTTCCCGGTCCTGACTTGGAAATCCCTGGAAACCATCACTCTTAATTTCCTTTCCAACCCACGGCTTGTATACTATCAAGACTAGCTCAGATTCCTCGGGCACCACCATCTGGATTTCTCTTCACCCCTATTTATAGCTCTGGACCTAGGCCATCTAAGAAGGACAAGCAGCTCAGGTCTGTGTGACTCTGGAGAAGGCCATTGTCCCATGAGGGTAAAATTCTGGCTTTTATTGGAAGCATGTGATGGGGCTAGTTTTATGGATTTTAAGCTCAAAGAGCACTGTCTGCATCCTAAACCCTGTGTTAGATGCAGGGGTGCAATAAAGAGCACGTCATTAAGGCCTGCCCTCAAGAGGTTCACTCACAGTCTTCCATCTAGGCAGATGCACAGAAGCCACCCTTAAGTCTTAGAAATGGAAAGGAACTAGAGCAGTCAGAATAGGGGCAGTTCAGTGTGGAGGTCTATGGGTGGGGGTGTTTGGAAGTCAGGCACCCGACGATTACACAGCAGGAAGAATATACGGGAGGCAGGCTGGCACACTGTTTTGAGATGTTCTCTGAAAGCTTAGTAGCTGCTGTGTGCTTGGCCTAGGTACTTTGACTTGGTCTTGTCTTCTAGCATCTTCTAGGAACTTCTAGTGTCTAAATGGTCTCTACCACCACTTTCCTGTCAGTTTGTTGTACCGGGGTGGCTTGTCTATTGCTGTGAAGCTCAAGGCTTTGTCCCTGGTATTTCACTGGTATTTGGGTGCCAGCAGGGTCACCCAAAGTGAACAAGTGGAGCTTCCAGACAAAGAACAGACTACAAAGAAGGAGCAGGCTGGTGACTTCAGGGGAAGAACCAGTACGGATGGCATCGAAACAGTGCCAGTTCCTGGAAGCCTACTGGAGAGAAGCCGAGCACTGTCAGGGCGTGCAAGATGAGTGTCTCAATATGCAACAGAGAAAAGCTGCCTCAGTCGCTCATCGTGACGCAGATGAAGTAAAGCTCGTGCGAGTAAAGCCTTCAGGACTTTCCTTTGCTGATGAGGTAAGACTCAAAAACGAGAACAGCTAGAAACATCAATTAATAATTGGAACCTGGAATGTATGAAGTTAGGAAATTGGAAGTGATTAAAAATGAAATAAAATGCATACAGAGCAAAATGTCAGGTGTTAGTAAGCTGCAATGGACGGGATTGTGGCCGTCTGGAATCAGGTAGTCAGATGGTTTCCTTCGCTGGGAATGACACCATCCAGAGGAGCAGCATTGTCAAAAAGGGCATTTCAAGATCTAGCTTGAAGGGCAATGTTGTCTGTGATGTGCTCATATCTAAGCCAATATAAGAAAATTCAACCAATATAACTGTTATTCAAATTTATGCACCCACCATAAAAGCTAGTGATGAAGAAACTGAAGAATTCTACCAATGTATTTAATTTGAAATTGATCAAACATGCAATCAAGATGGACGGATGATCACTGGTGACTGTAATGCAAGGACTGGAAACAAAATAGAAGGAATAGTAGTTTGAAAATGTGCCTGTGGTGAGAGAAGCTGGAGATAACATGATAGAATTTTGCAAAGCCAACAACTTAAGAATGGGAACTCCAGAACACTTCATTGTGCTCATGCAAACCCTGTACACGGACCAAGAGGAAGCTGTGTGAACAGAATAAGGAAATACCGCATGCTTTCAAATCCAGAAAGGAGTGCCTCAAGGTTGCACATGGTCACCATATTTATTCAATCTGTATGCTGAAAAACAATCAGAGAAGGTAGATCATATGAAGCAGAATGGGGCATCAGGATTGGAACAAGGCTTATTAACAACTTTTGATATGCCGATGACACAACCCTGCTTGCTGAAAATGAGGACTTGAAGCACTTGCTGATGAAGTTCAAGGATTACAGCCTTCAGGGTGGATTACGACTCAATGTAAAGAAGACCAACATCTTCACAGCTGGACCAAGAGGAACCATCATGATAGATGGAGAAAAGATGGATGTTGTCGAGGATTGCCTGGATCCACAATCACTGCTCATGGAAGCAGCAGTCAAGAGATCCAGTAACACAATGCAATGGTGAATCTGTTGCACAAGCCCTCTTCCAAGTGGTGAAAAGCAAGTTGAAGATGTGCCTAACTCAAGCCATTATATTCTCAATCGGCTCATACACATTTCAAAGTTGGACACTGAATAAGGAAGACTGAAGAACAACAAATGCATTTGAACTATGGTATTGTCAAAGAACACGGAGAGTATCATGAACTGCAAAAAATAAACAAACACATCTGTCTTTGAAGAAGTAGAGCCGGAAGCGCCTTAGAGACAAGGATGTTGAGACTTGATCTCATGTACTTCGGACATATTATCAGGAGAGATTAGTCCTGTAAGAAAGACATGATCCTTGGTAAAGCGGAGAAGCAGCAAAAAAAGAGGAAGGCCCTCAAGAAGATGGATTGACGCAGTGACTGCCACCATGGGCTCAGACCTAAGAACAACCGTAAAGATGGTGTAGCAAGGGCAATCTTTACCATATATACTCGTGTGCGAGCTGAGTTTTCAATGCTATTTTTGTGGTAAGATTAGGTGCCTCGGCTGATATTCGGGTCGGCTTATACTCTAGTATGTACGGTAGTTCTATTGTGCACCGAACAAATTATCTCTTTCTGCTTTTTCGCAAGTCTCTGGAATTAGGTTATCCTTCTTCATCCCCACATTGACAACAGTCATGCAGCTGGGGACTAGCAAGCCCCTGGCTAAGCCTGGGTTTCATATATACTCCTGGTGTTTCCTGTTCCTGGGCTTTTTGCTTAGAGGAATCTCTTCCTGAGTTTTGGATCTTTGTTTCCTAGTGATCACCTTACTTGACCTTTGAACATTATCCTACTTATAGTTTTTTTTCTTTCCTGACTTTGTAAAATATAAATGGATGTTCACCCTCTGGGGGTCAATGTGAGGCCTGGCTCCTTTCAATGGATCCCCTGCCAAACTCAATGTGATCCTCCATCCTGCACTTGGCTTCAACACCTTTCTCTTTCTTGTTTCCAGTCTGAATGGCTCTTGGTTCTTAGATGGAGTCTTGGCTTTGATTTAAGAATCCTTCATCATCTTTGGCATCATTGTGGCTTCAATAGCCTGATGGAAGCCCAGAGGCCTCAACATGCCCTTTAGCTTCTGTGCTGGTGACACCTGTCTTCCTAATCCACTCCTGCCCAAATCTTGACTTTCTCTCTTTTTAGGACCACCCAGTTCTCTTTGTTCAAAAAGAACTTAAGAGCATCTTTCCTTTTCCTGCAGTGTACGGAGGTGCATGGAGTTGTCAATTTTGTCTGCCAACCACCCAAGTCTTTGACATACGGTATTTCCCACGGTGTCCTAATGATCATGTGGGTTTATATCTAAAGGCTTAGAAGAGTGCCCACGATCCTTAGCACCTACTCAGTGTTTGCTTGCTTTCTCCCCAAGGCACAGCTCACCGTCACAGGTCATGGCCGTGCAGACCCAGTTTCCACAGGCGCAGACACAGCGGTTACAGTCCACCTCAGTCTCAGCTCCATCTGCGTAGCTCTCATCTTCCAGGGCGCACTCTATGAGGACCAGAAAAAAAGTGTGTGGGAGGGTGGGTGGGACCGTGGTGGGGAGGGAGGGGAGGAACGTTTCAGTTGTGACAGTGGGGCAAAGCATCTGTGCTATAGTTTGTGCCCCTCACCCTTTTTCTCGACCAGACCTGCCTATCTTTCCAAGGTGTTACAGGTGAACAAAGTTCACCACCAACCCAAAGATTGATGGAGTCTAACTTCACCGTGGGCATGAGGGTCTATAATTCCCTGTTTCTAAGTTAAGGCGAGGGGAGCGTACTCTTAGCTGGAGGGTTGAAATAGGGGTTGAGGCACCGAAGGAACTCTTGGAAGCCGAGTTTCCCGTCAGCGTCTTCATCCGACAGTTCAATGAGCGCATCAACGCAGAGTCCTCTGAAACGAACCAGGAGAAACGGGTGAGTCCTCCGCTCCATCCACAAACCAAAGGAATTCAACATCAGGATGTGCTTACTCTCTAAGTGACACCTGGGGCCTCTGGAGGAAGTCAAAAAATCAAAACAAACCCACAGCCACTGAGCCACACCAAACTCACAAAGACACTATGGGACAGGGTAGAAGTGCCCCTGTGAGTTTCTGAGACTGTGTCATTCTTTACGAGAGGAGAGAAACCCCAGCTCTCTCCTGGGGTTAGCAGCCAATGCCAACTTCTATGCCCCCAGGGAGCCCATAGGGAGCCAAAAGGCAGCTGACACTTCTACACAGGCCACCCACCACCATGGTCATCTTGTCCACCGTACACATCCAATGTGCAGTTTGTTAAGACTCATGCCAGATCACTCTAATTGTCCAAAGGTTCCTCCCAAGACAAATGTGTCCTGAATGCCTTTCCACATTCTGTTGGACAAGTATTTTCACACCTGCACACCTTTCCCGAGCAGTTGTCTTTCTCTGGGTTCTAGGTGTCAAGTAAGAAAACCAAAAGAGAAGACAGGAATGATCAGCAAGGAATTTGAAGGAAGACCCACACGATTGCTCTTCCAGACGTGGGGTCTTCAGACGAGTTCTGTACACCCCCAGCTCCCCCAGCTCCGTCACGCCACACTGGGTTTGAGCCCTGGTCCATTGCTTACTCCCCCAATGGCCTTGAGTTAGTGAGTCAACCTCTGGAAGCCAGGTTGCTCACCTGTGACAGGAGGCCAAGAGTCCCTCTCACAGGGATGGTACAGCAGCCAAACAAGGCAATTGTCAAAGAAAACAAGCACATCTCAGTGATGAGAGGTTCTAAAAACAGGAAGGATTTACAGACTAAGAACTTTAAGGCCATGGACTGTTATTAGAAAGAATCTTTTGATACAATGATTTGGAAAAAAAGGTTAAATGGTCACATTCTCACTTGAAAAGCAAAGTAAAGTCACTAGATGAACATATGGAAATTGATTAAATGCTTTATGTTTTTATCTGTATTTCATTATAATTATCATTTTAAAAATCCTCATAAAAGGTAGGCGGGCTTTGTTCTTTTAAACAAAAGTGGTGCTTTTCCTACTTTCAATTCTTTCTCATGTGCTAGAACCACACCAGAAGTTTCTTAACAGCACGAATAATCATTCTGGAATAATACCAGCTGTGGTGGTTACATCATCTGTTGTCAATTTGAGACTATTAAGAGTGAAGGGGTGGAGGTTCGCTTGTCACTCGGGTCGCAGCTTGATGACCTCATTTTGAGGCACTAAGACGATAAATAGCTTGCTGGAGGCTGGACACACATGCTGTGAAACATTCCTGTTCACAAGACACACGGAGCTACACGAGAGCCCTGGAGCTGGAGAAGCCATGTGGAGACCCCTGCCAGTGCTGAGAGGCTTCCACTGCCACTGGATCCACAAGACTTTCCACCCCTGGTCTGTGATCTTCCTGGATTCGGCATCATTGCATGTGTTTTGTGAGTCTGAAGAGGAATTTATAGATTGGTATCAGACATATGGGCTAATATAGGACTTCTGGACTTGATCTGGACTGGGCTGGGATGTTTTTTCAATATACAATTACTCTTTATATAAAGCCATTTCTTGTACACATGAGTGTCTATGAATTTTGTTTCTCTAGTCTACCCAGACTAACACACCAGGACAAGTGAGAGCTATACTCACATTCATAACAATTAGGGAATGTCTCTACAAAATAACACTGATTACCTTCACCATCAGAACTAAAGCTAAGTTAGACCTACAGTTAAATAATATGTGAATCTAATTCTTTGGAAAAAATTCTTTAAAATTATCCTATTATTAATACTTAAGAGCTTATTTAACTTAGCTGTGACCCGGCTAATTTGTCTGAAAATGGCATTCTTTCTATTCATTGTAAGACTTGGCCCCAAACAATAATTATGTCATCAGATAATGGTGTTGAAGATATTATCTCAAATAGGAACACTAGAACACAGGGCAGCATCACCGTTCTGCTGTTTTTCATAGAGGCACTGGTGGTTCTTCCGTGGACAGAAGGGGTTCAGATCCCCGCTCCTACACAGGCTTTCCCTCTTCAGCCACTCCGTGACCTGGGGCCCGCTCACCTCAGCAGCTTGTTGTTCTCTTGGTCTGCATAGGTGGTAATGTTGACGGCGGTTTCATTCTGTTCCACAAATTTCAGGAACTCGTTGGAATCCAAGCGAGCATCACCATTATCAAAGTTCTAGAAAGGGGATGAAGAGACCTTTCAGGAACAAGGTTTTATAGGACCCCAGTTCCATCACCCTTCTTCCCCTCAGCCATCTCGGGTACCCCCCACTCTCTCTCTTTAGAGTCCAAGCCTGCCCTAGACTAGCCAGAGAGAACTACAGCAAGAAGGCATGAATCCCTGGGTGTGGTAGTTCCATAATCTGTTTGTCAATTTGAGAGGATTAAGAGTGAAGGGGTGGAGTTTAGCCTGTCAACCAGCTGGCAGCTTGAGGACATCATCATTTGGAGGCGCTAAGATGAAAATAACTCGACTGAGGCAGGACACATGCTCATTTCCTGTGAGACATTTCTGACGAGAAGCCACATGAAGCTACCCTGATGCAGCCAGAGCCCTGGGAGCTGGAGACCCCTGCCACTGGATCCACAAGACTTCCCACCCACTGGTCTGTGATCTCTCTGCATTTGGCAACATTGCATGTGTTTCATGAGTCTGAAGAGGACTTTATATATTGGAATCGGACATGTGGGCTAATATCAGACTTATGAACTTGATCTGGACTGGGCTGGGATGTTTACTCCATATTCAATTGCTCTTGCATATAAAGCTCTTTCCTATACACATGAGTGTCTATGAATTTGTTTCTCTAGTCTACCCACACTAACACACCGGGGGGCTGGAGAAAGTGCTTGTACCCCAAGGCAAGAGTGGAAGTGCCTGGGCAGAGACGACCAAGTTCCTTTCAAACCCAGACCCTGCCGAGGAGGGCGACCTGCAGAGGCCTCAGTTACCCAAGCAGCCTGCGGCCTGGAAACTCTGCTGCAGACATCCTCCCCTTTGCTTCTGGATTCAGGCCAGCCTTGTTTTCAAATCCTGATGAGCGAGCAAGAGCAGAGGCTAAAGCTGGGATGCAGACTCTCTGTGGTGGAACCCAGGCGCATGCTTCTGACGAGCTCCTCAGAAGCAAGGATGCAGGTGACCCCCGTCGCTCACTTTGGAGATCACTGGACCAGGTCGTGCTGCGTGGCGCCTCCCTGTCTTGCCCTCAAAGCTTCCCTTTCACACCGTGACCTCCCACTGACCGTGACATTGAGAAATCATAAACGAATGCCCCCAAATCATTAACTAGCAGGAGGAGGTTGCAGAGGGCCCATGTGCGCACAGGTCCTTGACTGTCCAGTACAGGCTGTCCTCGATGGGCAGGATGACATCCCACGGGTGTGAGGTGAAAGAACAGGGAGCTCAGGTATTGTTCCCTCTTAGGCAAGATGAGCAATGGGGACGTCAGCCACCTGCGTCAGTTCTAGATGCCCAGGCCCTCTCTGCGGGAGGAGGGTGTTCATTTCCATGCTCTGATCTAATTCCAGGTTGGATGCTTACTCAATAGTGCCAGTGGCATTTACAAACACTTTCTTTCTCACACTGACGTCTTGGGAGATGCCCCAGAAAAGTGCCGAGGCTTCTGGAAGCAAAGTGATCCAGGTTTCTAGAGATGTGAACTATTGGTGCGCCTTCCTTTCACGGCTGTCAAGTCTCGAGTGTAACTCTCTCCTCTTTCTATGTGGGTTTAAAAAAAAAAAAAAAAAGGAAAGAAAAACAAAAGCAAACTCACTGCTACTGAGTGGATGGCCAGTTCGCAGCAGCCCTCTAGGACAGGGTAGAACCGCCCCCTCTGAGTTTCTGAGCCTGTCACTTCTTACAGGAGCAGAAAGCCCCGTCCTTCTCCTGATGAGCAGTTAGTGACTTTGAACTACTAACCTTGTCATTAGCAGTTCAACATGTAACCCCTATGCCACCAAATCCCCTATGCAGGTAAAGTGACAGGTGTTTATAGACTAATCATCTAGGCCTTTGCTTAGGGCCTATTTATCACGCTTGTCCTTATTCCTAGAAGCAAGTCTCAGATGTGTTCTATTCCCTACGCATCCACCCACCCTACTGAAGCTTCCCCAAGTGTTTGCCTTTCGAGGTCTCGAATAATTAACGGAGAGGGGACAAGAAGTTTGGTCAGATGTCAGTGCTAGGAGTGCAGGATTTTCCTAAATCCATGTGTTGCATGTGCTGGCCAGACCGGAGTAATCTTTATAGACCTGACAAAGTGCACGCAGGGAAGGACAGTCTGAACTGGCCAGAGGGGACCGGCAGGCCCCAACCTCTCTGATCTCTACGGCCCACGCTATTCTCAAAAGGCAGTGTGGCTTTTTGTGGGTGCCCGTTAGCTCCCGCTCCCAACTCCATGCAGCCAGAATCCGGGACAGCCAGGGGCTCATGAGCTGTCCCAGGGGCCTGGACGCGCATCCCAGGCAGATCTTCATGTGGGCACGGAGGTCACATTTCAGGCTATTTGAAATGTCCGGTGGGCCCAGCTGCCTATGGGGTCATGATGTTGGGCCCTAAGCCAGCCTAATTCATTTGGCTTCTGAATACCCAGTCAGCGAGAGAGGCATAGTATATGTCTGTATTCCCCACCTCCACATTTGAGCCAAAACTTCCTCGCCATCACTGTGGAAAGAGTGTGGAAAGGCAGAAAGATATGTCAAGAGGCCAATGCTGGGGATTCCTTGTTGTGTCTTTAAAGACTGTTGCGATGGGAGAGGCGGTGCCAGGTTGGGCTCCGGTACCCACTGCAGCTGGGAGGGCGGGATGTGAAATCAGGTAGGGGAGAAAAGTAGGCTGCTGGCTCCCGTTTCAGCCCGGGACATCAGGATGGTACCAGCAGGAGTCAGAGTGTGTGTGTATGTGTGTGAGAGGGAAAGGGGAGGGGGCGGGGGGAGCACAGGGTCCTGAAAGACCAGGGTCTTTGCATCTTCATCCTGTCCTGCAGTCATCCAAGAAGCAATGACTGAATCACTGGCTCAGGAGAAGTCAGACTGGCCGACTATCTCTAGGTTCTGGTCGCACGGGTGTTTCCATAGATCGGGTGTAGGAAACTGTCAGCCAGCCTCGAGAGCGCGCCCTGGCTCTGAAGCAGCCTCTGAGACATCGGATCAAGCACCGTGGGCAGCTGCTACACAAGGCGGGAGCCGGAGTCCTCTGAAGGCAGCATCGCAGAGGCCCCGAGAACCATCTGAGTAGAGAGTAAAACTCCCTCTTCTTCTCCCAGAAGATGCTGCCAGATAGTCCTGGAAGGGGCTGCGGGTGCGTGCCAGTCTCGAACAAGCTTCCCCAGCCAGGAGGGAGAGGCCCTGGAGGAAAGCTGTGTTCTCAGGGGCTCGCCGTTTCCTGGTGGGAGCCCGAGAGCGCGGGGCACTACCAGAGGAGGTGGTGGTGTGGGGGGAAGTGTGGGGAACTGGTCTGACGGCAGGTGTCACTTCTCCCTGGGGCAGACTGCCACTACAAACAGTTACACAGTCCCCGGTGCAGGGAGAGAGAGAGCGCACGAGTGAGAGGCCGGGCCGGCTGCTCCTAGGCTGCACTGGCCATGCCCGCAGGCCCCGCAGGTGTGGCTCACTCGGCTTTGGACAGTCTTTTGGTGCTGCTCGTGCCTTCCTGGCTCAGACCTATGCTATGGTTTTTGTCAGTTTGTTTGTTTTTGTATAGGGGAACTGCCCCTGCGAGGGGCTTCCTGTAACGAGGCAATAGGGGAGGAGGAAGGCAAAGAAGGGCTGAGCTCTCCCCTCCACACAGGGGCATCCCTACATGTGGCTCCTGAGATGTGACTTGTGGCCTTAAGAGACATCTCAATCTCCACACAGCACACACCAAGCCTCCCCTGACCGAATACCCGACTGCAACTCCAAACGGTTCTTTCTCCGCCGGTGAGGTCCCAAACCAATGTCAATGAGGCAGGGGGTGACCATATTTGGTGGCCTCCCGGTGGCCCCGCTGCCCCCATGTGTTGGGAGCTGCTCTGGGTCCTGGCTGGGCAGGCACCAGAAGATTGTGAGGGTGTGTATGTGCTGGGTGAGGATCCAAGGGCATCTACCTGGAGATTTGTGCCTTGTGTGTAAAAGGATAGGGTGGGGCTTTTGTATTTACCTGAGGATGCCTGAGGTGCCTCAATGCTAAATGCATCTGAGTGTGTTGTGTAATCTCTGTATATGACATGTGCGTGTCTCTGTCTAACTCCTCGTGGGCAGGTACATGGTGTGTGGTCCGTGTGTCCATATCTCTGCCGGTGGCTGAGTCTCTAGTGGTCCATGCGTCCCTGAGGGGGGTGGGTGTGTCCCCACGCATAGCATGTGTGCATAAGTACATGGCGTGTGCGCTTGTCTCCGCTGTATGAAATGCACGTTGAGGTGCCTATGCTTCTGTGTGTGGCATGCCCATTCCTGGGGAGGTCGTGGGCATGGGTGTGGTGGGAGGGTGAGGGTGTGTGAGGTCTCTTCAATAGGCTGGAGGGAGCCCCCTTCCCGGCTCCTTCCAACAACTCTCTTACATGGTCTGTCAGGGCGGCCCCAACCATGGCTAAGTCCCCATTGGGGACAGTCTTTCTCTTCAATAAAACGTGAAGAAGGGGAACAGTAAAGACAAGGTCCTTGGCGAACCTCTGCCAGGCCACAGACTCTTCTAAGACACAGGGGCACTCTGCAGGGTCAGGGACTGTCAACTCACAGGCCGAGAAATACCCCCAACAGGTGATGGGAGCTGGGGCTGGGTGAGAGCAGAAGGTAGTCTGCATGGATAGCCAGCATCACGGGGGGCAGAGAGATGGCGCCCCAGCCACACTTCCCACTGACCAGTTGTCCACAGCCCTCGTGGTGTTCACTGCTCAAAGGGAGCGGCCCAGGGGGCTGGGCTAGGCAACGCGGCACCCCTGAGCTCCCACTCGGCGAGCTGGTGGAAGGTGGCTCTCTCAGCTCAGGGACTTGACCCCTGTGCATGCGCACGTTGGTGTGCCCGCCTGCTCGGGAAGATGTGGCCAGGCAAGGACAGATGGGAGCCTCCCCTCCCTTTTCCTGGGGCTGAAGAATCTTGTCCCGGGCTCTGGAATACCTTGAAGTACTTGTCTAGAATCTCACTGTAGTTGCTGCCTTTGGAGAACCAGCCGTCTGGAATGATCTCCGCTTCCAGCCACTGGATGATGCGCTGCCGGAGCTCATCGCGGTTGGACTGGTAGCAAACCACTGCAGGAGAGAGGAGGGAGCACTAAGTGGGGAGGGAGGGGGGCAGGGACTGCTGCACTCCAGGGGGACAAGGCTGTCATACATGACGGAGGAGTAAGCCCGGGTCACACATCCACAAAGAGCTGTCCCCCAGCGCCTGTCTCTACGTGGAGGACATGTCACTCACTTTGGGAAGCGGGGGGTGCAGGGGAGTAGATCCGTAAAACCGCAGTTTTCTTTCAGCGCTCAGAGAGAGCTGACACGATGCACCAGCACTTGTACGAGCACTTCTTGCCCTCTCACCAGATGCGTTTTATCAAAACTCTCTCCCCCATGAAGTTTTACACCGCACACACCCAGTCTCCATGACGAAGCAACAAGGAGCGAGGCTAGCGACGGGCTGCATCGCAGGCCTGCTCCAGACAGCGTTGGATGCGCCGTGGAAACAATGGGTGCGAGTCAAGGCCCCCAGAGCCATGGGGAAGGGAATGCTGGGATGGGGGAAAAGGCCCAGGGTCGGGAGAAGGAAACCTGGTTCTTCTTCCCTACTCGACCACCCCCTGGCTGTGTGACCTGAGGACACCCACCGGTCCCCTGGGCACCTCAACGTCTTCATCTAGAGGAGTGGTTCTCCACCTTCCTCATGCTGCGACCCTTCAATACAGCTCCTTGTGTTGTGGAGCCCCCACCCAAGCATAACATTATTTTCGTTGCTACTTCAAAAGTGTCATTTTGCTACTGTTATGAATCGGGCAACCCCTGTGAAAGGGTCGTTTGACCCCCAAAGGGGTTGTGACCCACAGGCTGAGAACCTCTGCCCTGTAAGATGTACCTCATAAGGTTGGTGTGAAGATCCAGGAGAAAGTTATTATGTTCAAGGGATCTGTGATGATCAACCATGATTAAATGTTAAACTTGTACGTGGGGGCTTCAAAGAGTTCATGGGTTGGGGATGACCATTAAGATGGAAATTTGGGGGGAGAGAGGGGGGAAAAAGAGGAGCTGATACTTCTTTTAAGAAGAAAATGTTTTGAAATTATGATGGCAACATATGTACAAATATGCTTGATATAATTGATGTACAGACAGTTACAAGAGCTGTAAGAGCCCCCAATAAAATGATTTTTTTAAAAAGATGGAAGTTTTTCACAATGTTTGAAAGACCCCTTTTACTAACAGGCATGGAAGCAGTCTTACTGGCATTCCCAAGAATTCCCTTCTCCAAACAGTTGTGCCTCCTTATCCAATTGCTAGTCCAGGACACCAGTGTGTCTCACAGGTTTTGAAGGGCTCTGCGGCTTCCCTGTCCCCAGAGTTCAATTTCCACTCTGCAAAAGGGGAAGCCATCCCAAACAGTCTGACCCAACCAGCTGCTTGCTACAGGAGAAGGAATTTCTGAGCACGGCGCTGTTAGGGGGACAGAAAAGGACACCACTCACCTGGGCTGGCAGATGGACGTGTGTGCTTCTTCTCTGCAAGACAAATGGAGACAACAGGTCATGCGCCTGAAGAAAAGGGAATTTCTGTACGTTGTTAGGATGAAACAGCCCCACACAAAGGTAGGGGAGTTGTAATCTTGCCACCATTTTGTCTTGGGGTGGCGGTCTCTTCCCCCTCTCCCCGGGCTGAAGGATGGGGTCTTTTCTTTCCAACTGAGGTTGACCCTTGGCGAGCACTGAGTTTCCTTCCGAACCCCAACCTCTTTGCGTTGTGTTGGGGGGTGGCCACTGGGACGTTGTCAAGGCATAGGTGGATCATGAGGGACAGGGGAACCCAGGGAGACCAACACCTGGGAACCTGTTTTCTTCAGGCAAGTTCAAGGTTGAGAGGGCTGGGTAAGCGGGGCTTGGCAAGGGGCGGTCTACTTAGCAGCATTGGCTCAGGGGGCAGAGTCCATGTGAGAGCCTTTCCCTCTAGAATGGCAGTGGTTTGAGTGTAAAAAAAGAGGGCAAACTATTACTACTGGGGCCAAACCCAAACCGAACTCACTGCCATCTAGTGGATTCAATTCTTAGCAACCGTAAAGGGCCGAGTAGAACTACCCCATGTACAGTGGGCTTCCAGCTTGTACATCTTGACAAGAGTAGGCAGCTTCCTGTTTTTCCTGCAGAGTGACTGGTGGGTTCGAACTGCTGATCATGCAGTTAGCAATCCCACACGTAATCCCCTGCATGCTACCAGGGCTCTTGCCTACCAGTGCCAAGAGAAGTTTAAAGGATGCCGACTTCTTGAAGGACCTCATTATTGTAGATGCGGTTGCCCTGTCTGCTATCCGGCTGCAGAGGGTTCTGGGAGCACTGAGCAGAAGCCCGGATCACCCAGAACTAGCCCAGCAGGTTCACGAGCTCCAGGAGAAAGCATCTCCAAGCAATGGGACTGTGCCCATGGCTTTGGGCAGCTGTGATCAGGGAGGAAAGGACTCCGGGAAGTCAGGTCACACTGTGCCCTGGCTCTCTCGGGCTGGGCTGTGGATGCGGTGGTGGGAGCCCGCTTTACCTTTGCAGTGGCCATCATAATCAACCTGGATCTTGGATCCAGTGAGGCAGGCGTCTCGGTGCAGCTCACAGTGGTTGAGGTAGGTCTTGCCGTTGCTGCCACACACAGGTCTCTTGTGTGGTTTGCATTGCTGAAACAGACCCACAAAGGTGTGTATGTGTGTGCGTGCATGTGCCATGATGTCACAGAAGCCGACACACGTGTACACACACACACACACACACACACACACACACACACACACACACAGAGTCACTTGTAAGGGGACTGCCCACCGGCAGAGATGGACCCTCTGGCCCCAGCAAGCCTCAACTCGGGCCATCAGTGATCCCACCCTCTTGTGGCCACAGGCTCCTTATCACCTCCCAGAACCACAGCTCTGGGCAGATCGAGTACACGGTCATCTCCTCTACTCTGTGAAGAAATACACCTTTTGTACAGTACAAACACTGGGTGTCGGGGATTTGTATCCTCTCTCCCTCTGTCACTTCGGAAAGAGTCACTCCATGTCTCTGGATGACCTAGAGAGATTCCTCAACATCCCCACCTTCTCTGACAGCAAACAGCCAGACTGAGTGCTGGGAACGAGGAGAGACTGAAAGGCAGCTACACACACTGCAACTCTTCTGGGCTCCAACTATAAGGCTCTTTGCTCTCTTGTTCTGTCGAGCATTCAGGGAACCACTTTGCTTCCGGCCTCATTTCACAACTCTTGTTGTGAGCCTGTGGTGAGGGGTGGGGTGGGAAGAGGGGGGCGCTCGGAGCATGGGTCCTTGTGAAACAGCACAAAGAGTCATTATCATCAGGGAACTGGAATAAAGTTCATTTGGCATCTAGACTCAGCCTCGGCAATATGTAAAGTGCCAAGGTCATTGGCAAGCTCGGTTTGCTTGGACTTTCGTTGTTTTTAAAGAAGGGGAGGGGCAGTCAGTCGCTCAGAGGGGCAGATGGAGGGAGCGACCAGAAATGCGGAGCACCAAACTGGCGTGGTTTCCAATCTACAGACAAGAAGACCCCAGCCCAGAAAGGCAAGCTTCATTATTTATGTGCTTGGCATTCATGAATGCGGGTCTACGACGTGCCAGGTGCTAAGCAAAACAAAGCCTGGTCTCTGTCTTCGAGGCATCTGGTAGGAATGAATTAAATCCAAATCCTCTGACTCGTGTGTGACCAAGTTGAAACTAGCCCTCAGGCCTCCAATTAGAGGACCCGCCTTGGCGCTCGCTCACTGACCGATCACGGACGAGCCTCCAGGTCATCACGCAGAGCCTCGCTCGCTTGAAGCCCAGGCTCACGCTACCACACCTGCCAGGTGTCCCCCAAGCAAGTGGCATCCCTAGCAAGACCCCGGGGTTCTCGGAGCTGAGGGGGTCAGCTTGCTTTCTGGGTCAAAACTTCCGGATCCTGAAGTTGGGGACTACGGTGAATGCATTTATTTGCAGAGAAACACAACAAAAATACATAAACAAGTATGTCCAGGGTGCTGTGGACTCATGGGAACTGACAAGAATCCTCTCTACAAAATAGGAAAATAAGATTATTTCTCAAAGGGTCACTTTTTCTTTTAAATGCCCTTAAGGAGGAAAAAAAAAGAATATGCACAAAACCAGACAGTCTATAAAACCCGCATTCCATGAAAATATGTGATTCCTTTGATTTCCCAAACCCACTTGAGGTCATCCATCCTACAGAAATAAAAGCAGCACACACAAAAGGAGATTTTGCCCATGGTCATTATTGCTTATCATGCTTTAAAAAAAAAAATCAATAAAACAAACAGACTGTTCATCCGTAGGAAACCGGTTGAGGAAACAGTTCTTTCACATTGCTAGCTATGCAACAGTTAAAAAAATAAGCTAGAACTATATATGCTGACCGGGGTGCTTGATCATGATATATTAATGAGTGACAGATTCAAGTTCTCGATATCTCTTATGGCCATATTTTTGTTTAAAGTAGGAGGAAATCTCCCATGTTGCTATGGGCATAGAAACAAAACAAATAAATATGTGGAACACCAAGCTGTCAATACTGGTCACCACAGACTACTGGGATTGGAGTATTATTGGGGAAGAGCATTACTTTATCCTCACAAACGTCTACACGACTTGATTCCTATACCCTGAAGCCCCAAACCACTGTTGACTCATAGAGACCCTAGGTAGGGTTTTGGAGGATGTAAATCTCTACAGTAGACAGCCTCATCTTTCTCGCTTGGAGAAGCTGGTAGATTTGAACCACCGATCCTGTGGCTAGCAGCCCAATGCTTACTCAACATCACTGCCAAGGCTCCTTTGACTAACAAAATGCATGTGTTGCTTTTGGAATGAAGCACGCTATTTTTTTTTTTTTTTTAAGGAAAAAAGCATTTCTGCATTCGCATCTGCTCTTTCAACGCCAGCGATAGAAATTCTACATCTTTCCGCTAAACAAAGGTGTGCATGTATAATAAAAAGGATGAAACTGTTGGCACTGCCCTGCTGACTGATGGTTCCAGCCAGGTAGCCTTTCACATTGTCCTTTGCCGGGGGTCCTCAGGGCTCACTCACCTCAATACAGAGGCAGGTGGGCTCTCCCTTCTCGGTGACCGCACACTCCCGGCCAGCTCCACAGAACACATTGGCACAGACCTTGGATTTGCTCTTTAACTCCTCCTGAAACATAAAATCACAAAGAAACCATGTGACTGAGACGAACCCCTCACAGGAGGATGGGTCAAGGTGTTGCATGGTCTGAAACCGGCAGAAGCGTACTCCCCAGCACTGCCCTGGCCCAGGATGGGGCCCAGGTAACTCGGAATCACCAAGACGGCTTCTCGTAGAGTAGGACTTCCCATCTCATGTCTTTCAAGAGTGATTTTTGAGGACCCAGCATGTGCCAACACGGCGCTAAGGCCTGGGGATACAAAGGCCTGCCTAGTTCCTACCCTCAAGGCGCAAGAGGACTCTCCTCGGAGGAAACCACAGAGAATATTTAGAAAGCAATATGGAAATGCAACAAGGGGAGCACCCAGAGCCGGCAGGAGGGCGAGAATTAGGCTTTCTGAAGACACGCTGCCTGAACTGATTGCAGCGGGGAGCGAAAGGATGGCAGGCAGAAACAGAAATGTTTGCTATCTGAAAGACCCAAGCCTCACTGGGTGGTCTTGAACACATGGACCTCCTACCGTTTACGGAGATCCTATCCAGCTTCTCTGCACATTAAAGCCTCTGGCTTTAAGACAAAGAGAAACAAATCCAAGGATAAAGAATAAACACTCTTCAAACTACTCGCTGGATAGGCCTCCTGCTCAGATGTCCGTAGCAGAACTGACGGAGCAGAGAAGAGCTTTCATATATACCCCCTGAAAATGGGGGTATCAACGGACACTCATCTGTAGGTGACACCTTCCGACCCTCAGATTAACAGGGGCCAGAAAGGCAGCCCACTTCATTTGCCCACAAGCCAGCAATCGTAGTGGTTAAAAGGAGAACGAACCTGTTTTCCCCAAACACGCCTTTCCCACTTCACACACTGGCTGGTCACACAGTTACAGGGCCCGTACTGGCCAGAACTAAACAAAAATGGCAGGAGCCAAGATGATGGGCTGGCTGTGATGCCTAACCTAAAGGAGCCCAGGTGGGATCGTGGTTGCACACTGGGCTGCGATCCGCATGGTCGGCAGTTCAAACTATCAGCAGACTGGGCTGTCTACTCCTGCAAACAGTTACAGTCTCGGAAACCCACAGGGGGTCATAGGAGTCAGCAGTGACTTGATGGCAGCAATCAGCACACCGGACACACTGACATTCTGTTGACTGGACTCAAGGCACCCCTACGTTGGGTTTCCGAGGCTGTAAGTCGTTAGAGGAGCAGATAGCTCCATCTATATGGACTTGAACTGATGACCTTATGATCAGTAGTCTAAGCTTTCATGCTTCAGGCCATGTCATACAGAGACCCTTGTATGACTCACAAAGCTTGTAACAGTCAGATTCTCAGAATCACCAAACGTTTTTATACGCAGGAATAGCTTTAAAAAAAAAAAAGGAAAAGAGAAAAAAGTAAGGCAGGGACTGTGCCCAATACAGTTTGTCTGCTGCCACCTGGAGGCTGTCTGGCCAGCTCTGGGATATTATTTTCTCTAATAAGCCAACTTGCCTGTTCTGCAGGGCTCCTATTGGTTTAGAAACCTTCCCTCATGTCCACATTTCATTGGTTCACATGCTGTTGCTAAACCAATTCTTTTTTTGTTGTTTTTGTTTTTTGGATGTTGCTAAGGTGAATTCAATAAAGCTGGCAGGCAGGGAAGAAAAGAGGAAGTAATTCCCAGCAGGCTGTTGTTTCCTAAACAGGGAGTAGAGGTAGAAATCAAGTCTGCTCTCCAGCCTTGGTGGAAGCTGGGCCCAGAACGTAAAACCACCCTAAAGAGGGAGAGAAAAGCTGGTGGCTGACCAGTAAAGAATCTCAGATAAGGGGCCCATCGCCCTCCACCCCACGAAAAAGCCCTCTAATCAAGGGATAGAGAAAAACCTAAGACTCAACAGCAAAGATCATATTTTCTTAAGAGGAGGCCTCTTTGTGCCATGTGGGCGTGTCCCATGACACACACGCGTGTAACAAAGCAAGCTCGGGCAGATGCCTCCATTCTGAGACACAGCAGCGCCCAGTTCCACAGACCTGCACCAAGTCCTGGGAAGGTGGCCCACACTCATTCGCTACCATGGAGTTGATGCTGACTCACAGTGACTCCATAGGACAGGAAACAACTGCCCTTGCAGTCAGCAGCCCCTCGTGCACCCACTGTGGGACCAGGCCTCCTGGTGGCCAAACTGGTCCATTTCATCTGTAAAGTAGGCATAAACATCAGCCCTGCCCTGTGCAGACAGAAGGAGCTCATGTATTTTGAACTATGTCATACGGCAAGTTGTCTGTGAGAAGTGTCCCTTTGCAGACTAGCCTGGGGCTCTCTCCGTGTTTTCTTATGTTGTTTTCAGGGAGCATTAAAAATAAAAGCTTCTTACAGGGTGAATACAACCCAAGTTCTCAAGGGTTCTCAAAAATCCAGTTGAAGAAGCAGCCATACAACTTAAAATACAGCACTAAAGATCTGAAGTCTCTCTGCTCCCATAAAGATTTAGAGTCTCAGAAAGGCAAATAGGGAAATTCTGGTCTGTCCTATAGGTTGCCACAAATCAACTTGATGGCAGTGTGGCTACTTGAACAGTACGATGAAAATACACAAAGTATTTCCACATACCGCATATGCTTTTGTCCTACTGCGTGGAAAACCATGTATATTATTATGAGATGAAGAAATGTCAAGTTAAGTGATTTGCCCAAGGCGATTCCAATCCAGATTGATGGCACCTTCGGTTGTAAAGGCCCGGCACCGTGCTAAGTGCTTTTTATTACACATTATCTTACATAACTTGGTCCACTAGGCAAGACTTTGATTTCAACTCCGAGCCCTCCAAAGCAGAAAGCGAGACACCCTCACAGAGTTCTCAAAGCAAGACTGTGATCTTTACGGAAGCCAACTGCCCCATGTTCCTCCCTCATAGTGGCTGGTGGCTTTGAACCCCTGACTTTGTGGTTATCGGTCCAATAATTAACCAACAACTCCGGAAGCAGCTTAATTCATACAGCAGGCAGTTTCTTGGCAGGCCATTTTCCCACTGGGGTATTGTGCCCCCATTTATTCCTGTCCCCTCTAACACGGAAAAGGTCATTCTGAGAGCCTCTCCTGCTCTGAGAGAGAGAGAGAGAGAGAGAGAGAGAGAGAGAGAGAGAGAGAGAGAGAGCACGAGGGGGCCTGCCCGTCCTAATGACCCCCTTTGAAGATCTCCACTGGTTACACAAGCCTTCTTCTTTGCAGGTGACATGTCTGTCAATAGGTGGCAATCTCTCTCTGTCTCAACGGAGCCCAGTGCCGCCGCAATGCAGAAGTGCAGTTTCTGCCCCTGCAGCTCCGCCTCCAGAGACAGGGAAGGGGTGTGTGTGCGAATGGAGGCCCACAGCAGAGGCAGGGGCGCAGGACAAGGATGTGCTCGCTGCAGTGTAGCACTGACAGCCCTCGGCTTGAAAATTTCAGATATCAACAGACGAAACATTTCTCCACAGGGGAGGCTTCTTTGTGTCAGCGAAAACCCTACTCGAACCCCATCCCATCTGGGAACGAGTGTGTAAGTCGGCACCCCACTCCACCCCCAGCCGTTAGTAAAGTCCCTGGAGGTTCGTGGCCAGAAGACAGAGATGGGGTAGAGGGAGGCCCAGGTAGTAGGTGGGGAGAGTTTCACCACCTGATCTGAGAGGGCTCGCCATTTGTCTCATGGGCAGTGGGGGCCATCGAAGATTTTGATTTAGCCAGATAACAAGATGAATGTGACTGTGTCTCTGGTCCTCCCGACTGAGAACTTCCTGCTAGCGCTAAAGCAGCAGTGTGATTGGGGGTGACAAGGGCCTAGGGCCCAGTATTAATGATGTCATATAAAAACCTCACTGCCATCAAGTCAATTCTGACACACAGAACCCCTACAGGGCGGAGCAAAACTGCCTCCGTGAGTTGCCAAGACTGTAACTCTTTATGAGAGTAGAAAGCCTCATCTTTCTTCTTCAGAGCGGCTGGTAGTTTCGAACTGCTGACCTAGAGGCTAGCAGCCCAAAGTGTAATCGCTACACCACCAGGGCTCCTCTGATGTTAAGTATAGCACCTACTTAATGAAGAACCGGTGAGGCTCCTTATGGGTACAGATAGGCTGGTGCAAATGGTGAACATTGTCGGCTGCAAACGGAAAGCTTGGAGGAGCCTAGCAAGAAAGATCTGGTGAATCTAGCCACCCAGTGAAGCACAGTTCCACCCTGACACACACGGGGGCACCATGAGTGGGGCTGACTCGAGGGTGACTGGTTTAACAGATTATGGAGAACCTGGGGTCAGGAAAGCTCTGTGAGGCCCTAAAGCTACAGGACTCGTCAGAGCTGAGTCCGGATTAGCAAGGACACCCCAATAGGCCTGACTGCGGAGACCTAGATATTCTCCCACAGGGCATAGCCAGGAGAGAGCGTGACAGAGCACAACGGTGTCACGGGGAGGGGCCACCGGGTACAAATCAGTCCTTGCAAATCAACTTGAATGGTTCATTTTGCCACTATAGAATTGGTGGAATTAGGCTGCAAGGCTATCTGGGAATTTCTTCTCTACATAGATAACATATCACATAGGCTGATCCATGACTATCAAAGTATAAACCCATGCTCAAAGTCGGAATGTCCCGTTGGGGATGACTGGCAGCGTGGAGAAATGGGAAGTATGTTGGAGAGGTATGGGCATCTTGGTATATTGACAAAATTAACAAAATACATGTCTTCAAATGGAGCAAGATCCAAATCCTAGCTTTGTCCTCTGCATCATCTCCCTGGCTTGCCACCACCTGGTTTTCATTAAGCATAGCAAACCATGTTGGGGGATGGGTGGCGGTAGTGGGGGAGTTGGTGTGATAGCTAGTTCTCATAATGTGAATTCCCCTTGCTCAAAACCTTGACTGAAAACATTCTGGGCTTTTTTTTTTTTTTTTAAGTCAGGCACACACTTTCTAAGTAACTGTCCGTCATTGCACGATGGTCCTGGTGCTGGAAACTCATAAAGCTGTTTTATTACTATCATTTTTCGGTTCTCAAACCCATTTAAGATGATTGGCAGGTGTTACCACTGAGGCCCTTCCAGATTGTACGAACCGCTGAGGCCCACAGCCGTCGAGCTGATTCCTGGCCCTGGCTCTCCAGACTTCAGTGCCAAGCCTCTTTCCACCAAGCCAGTCTGCGTCTTTATGCATCAAAGCCCGGAAAAGTGTGGTCTTGGATCCACGGTGCTGAGCAGACAGAAATTATTTTTGCCATTGAAAACAGATCCTTTGTGAACACAGGGGAAAGTCAGTGATGTGCAAAATCCCCAGGAGGGGTGCTATTGCTTCTTGCGTCCCTGGGCCTGCCAGCACTCAGTCTACAAATAAAATCACTTCTTTAAATCTTCTGAAGTAAAACAATTTCTGGAAGAACCAACGTTATGCTTTGGCAGGAGACGCTTATGTGCAAGGCCATAAACCTGCCAGCTTCATCGTCTCTCATTTGAACTGGGTAGGGAGCGTCCTCCCCCACCCCTATTAGCCTTTTCTTCCTTCCCAACTTTCTTTAAAAACAAAACAAAACAAAAAACGCCCAGCTTATGCCAAGGTGGGATTTGGGCTTCATTTGCCACTATTCTGTGACACAGCAGCGTGGTTGACGCTCTCCTCGCTTTGCCAGGATTCGTCATGGAAACTTCACAGGAACACGAAAGCCCCTCCTGAACACAACACCCCGGAGCTGGGCACAATGGAATCCGCCGTGAAGGGGGGCGCACAAAGCGGGATGCGGGCTGCCCCCACGGCCGGCAGCCAGTCTGGAAGGGAACCAAGCAGCACAGGCCTTGGAGAGGAGAGGAGAAAGAACAAAACTTTCGGTAGGACCTTGCTCTCTACATTTCATTCAACCTCGTTTAAAATGCACTGCTTCTTTTTCTGGGGAAGAAGTGTGTTGGTGAGGCCCACATCTGAGGAGGAAAAACTCAACCCGAAACCCACTAACACGAGTCGATTCCAACTCGTAGCCACCTTATAGTGCAGGGCAGGGCTGGCCCTGTGAGTTTCTGAGACTCACTCTTTACAAGAGTGGAAAGCCCTGTCTTTCTCCTGTGGAGTGGCTGGTGGTTTTGAACTGCTGACCTTGTGGTTAGCAGTCTAATGTAACTACTACACCACCAGGGCTCCTTCAGGAATAAGGAAGGGGGAGTAATTTCTAGCAGTTTCTCGGAGGCTTGCTGGGCAACAGGCACCGCCCAGCACTGCATTAGCAGGAGGGTTGTTCCTCCCCTATCCGGGCTCACTACTGCCGGGTGAATGCAGCCTGGCCAAAGGCAGGATTTGTGGGGCCTGAAGCTTAAACAATTGCGGGAGGGTGGGAGGTTGGGGTGGGGAGGGGCTGCTTAAAGAATATCCAAGTATGGCTTTGGAAGGGGTCTTGCCAGTGAAGGGTCTGCAAATTAAGCCACCCCATTTTATTTTCTTCATAAACAAGCTCCTTTCAATCATGGCTTATAGGCCTTTCATCTATTAAGTTGGACCCCTACTTAATATTGTATCTGCATATGATTTATCTCAAGCAGGCCCTGAGCTTCTTACTCATGCTGGCTTCCCACAGATTCACTGTCGCTTCCTGCCTGAGGAAACGCGAACTAAATGTTTTTGACGCGAACTGTCACTTGGGATCCTTTCAGGCTAGTCGCCGGGGCTGTGGGTCAGTGACCCTGGCACCAGGATGCTTCGGGGATGGCGTGGTTGTGTCCACGACATCAAAATAAGGGTTGCCGCTCCCAAGAGAATTCACTTTTCGATTACAAAGAAGTAAACTAAACTATCAAGGCCGTGTCCTTGAGGAACTACTAAATTCTCCTTTGTGTTAATTTCCATGTTCAGCTCCTACCACAGTCCATGGCATAACGACCCCATGCACGATGTGAGGTGCACGTTGGTATCTGGAAACCCAAGCAGTCTATCAGTGTCACTGCGCTGGTGCTGACTGGGGGGGGGGGCCTCAAGCGTGTCCAAAGAGAACTGCATTCCACAGTTTCAATGACTGATGATTCCCAGAAGCAAATCGTCAGGCCCTTCTTGTGAGGTGTCTTTGGG